ATTTGCCTTTCTAGCATTGCAGTTTGTCCCTACAAATGAACCATTTCCTTCACGTTACAAAAACCCTTGAGAGCTTTCACAGCCGAATGGTCCCTGCCTGAATGACAACAAGGTCCACGTTAAGAAGTGAAAGCAGCATCTGTTTTGTCTTTGCAAGGCGAAGGCGACTGGCAAGAGCACCGTGAGCTAAGCTTTTGGAGCTGGTGGGGCCGAAGAGAGTAGGGAGGACGCTGACAATAGTCTGATATGGCCATGAAGTCAATGGCAGTGTCAGGATATAATGGGGGTTGTGGGTCCCATCCAGCAGTCTGCACTTGGGCAACATTCCCATGGATGTGTGCCCTGATGCCTCTTCCTTTTCCCACCAGTGGGCAAGGCCCCAAAACACCCGACACAGCTCCCTTGTTCTGCTGCACTAGGGACAGGCCACGGAGAGCCCGCAGGACGAGACGTGGCAAATGCTTATCTAGCGCAGGTCCCTATGAAGGACCCGGGGTGAGGTCGCGGCCACTGGGCTGCATGTGCCCTCTGGCCCAGGACTCTCTCAGGGTAGGACTTGAAGTAGAAAAAAGGATAAGGAGGGGAAGTGAGCAATGGGGTGCCCTACCTCGCATGTGAAGGGGATGCTAATTGATGCAACTGTTTGTCAACGTCGTAGAGAGCTCGGAAAAACTGCTTTAAGCTTTGGGTTCTCTTCTTCTTCAGCATGTTCTCTTGAACTCATGCCGCAAAACCATCCTCTACAGTCATTTCCCTTAAATTATCTTTGCAGCTTAGTGCCCCACCCCAGAAACAAAATCAGGTGGCTTAAGCTTTCCTAGGTGCACCTTGCATTGTTTTATATGATATATTTGTTCTCTTTTTGCAGGTGTCCTCTCTGTGAGGCCAAGCCCAGAGACGGGGCTTTGCATGCTGGAAGAAACTGCCAGAGGTTGGAATGGGAAGGAGGAGCCCTTAGGGAAATGTTGTAGGACATCTGTCCAATTGCTGCTGATGGGCTGTATTAACTCCAGACACCAGGACTAAGCTTGTGTCTCCACGTTTGCAGCTCAGAGTGTAATATATAGCAGAGCCCTCTCTGTTCTCACACCATAAGAGCCTATGTGTGCGCACACACAATATAGATCATAAAGGCTGCACAGAGAGTTGTCATTACCCACTGGAAAGCCAGACGAAACAAGTGCCGGTTTTACAAGTTAAGGCCTATTTTACTAGGGTCAACAGAGGGGAATTTTTTCTGCACTCCCTCTTTATTCTTCTCGTTATCCACTGATATCTTTGACTACAGACTGCCACTGTATGGGCCGGATTCTCCACTGCTTGGTGCCTTGGGTCGCCGTTCACACCTGGTGCGAAGTGAGCGTAACATGCCAGCTGATTGGAATCTCCCCTCACCCAAGTGCTAGCATTTCAAGCCCACTTGGCACAGGGTGCAGATTATGGTACAGAGTGCACAGCACTGCACAATTCTGTTTACACACACATACATTTACTCCCTCATCTATTTCTAGCTACTGCTTGCGCTGGGTGTTCCAAACTTTCATGCCTTCGAGGCTAAAGATGCACCAACTCTTTGAAAATACTGTTCAAAACAAAGGACATATAGTCACCATTGGGGTAACTTTTTTTTTTAGAGATCCTTTGAACGTGACCTATTCCAAACCCCTCTCGATTTCAGTGTCACAGCATACAGATAGCTGCGTGGCCCAGAGAAGAGAGCACTGGAATGAGATTCACCAAATTAGGTTTCTCTGTGCTCTTGGACAAGTTATCCAACCGCTCCATGCCTCAGTGTCCTCATGTACAAAATGGGGAGAATCATCTCCGCCTTGTAAAGTGTATTGAGCACTATAGTTGAAAAACATTGAGTAAATGCTACACATTTGGCCCTTATTCAGTACAGCAGTAAAACAAAGGCCTGGCTAAGAAAGTAGGTGTAATTTCCCTAGCAATGTACCATTTCCACAAAAGATTTTTAACCCCATTGAAAGTGAGTGTTTCCTGACACTGCTCTCAGTCACTGAGCCAGCAAATCAATAAGGAAATGTAATCATGGGGGTTCATAGGTCATCACACCATTTGTGCGCTTTCCTTTTAAACCCATTTTCATTTATTTGCATATCTTCGTCCATGCACAAGAGAAACTCTGCAATGTATAACTCCTTCCAGCATTAATAAACTCCTAAATGAGGTGCTCTCGTTAGCAGCAAACTCAGTGGACACAGCTCTGGTACATACACCCCCGAGTCCAGGAATATGATGTGCAATATGAAGAACCATCTATTTACAAAATCTGGAATAATGTGAATGAAAATAGACTGTTAAAGGGTGTTTAAAATCTCCTGCTTCTTCAAACCCGCATACTGAATGTAGTGCAAGTGAAAGGCGAATGATTGACAGCCTTCTACACTGTATTGCTCTATTTTTATACAGGGTCCCTTCCTTCCCCCACTTAAATCAAAGATAAAAGCGTCATTGTTTTCAGTGGGACTGGTCCTGCAAGCTACTTAGCACCTTCAACCAGCACTGCAGTCCATGGAATTTGGGGGCACTCAGCACTCTAAGGAGATGCTTGGAACCCTGCAGGATCAGGCCAATGGATGCAGGATTAGGAGCAGTGCAGGCTTCCCGAGGGTACGTCTACACTACCCGCCGGATCGGCGGGTAACGATCGATCTATCAGGGATTGATTTATCGTGTGTAGTGTAGATGCAATAAATCGATCCCTGATCGCTCTCCTGAGAGACAGAAACAAAGTCGACGGGGGAGCAAAATAAGTAATTTTAATTTGATCTAAGATACGCAACTTCAGCTACGAGAATAGCGTCGCTGAAGTCAACGTATCTTAGATCGATCCCTCCCCACACACCTGACCATGTAAACTTGGTGACACTGTATGATAATGTGCCTTCACCTTAATCAGAAGGGGCTGTCTTTGGAGGCTACACACCCGGTCAGTCGTCATGGCGGTCAGTCCTTGGCCTCTCTGACGTGGGGGAGGGGGAGTTGGCTTGTGGCTGCAGGAGCTGCTGGGAACAGATTCCCAATTTATATTCCACCCCTACCAAGAGTCATTCCCTAAGGAAAAAGACTGAGCGTTGGGGGACCTCTTGGCGCTGTACCTAGCACCCTGGAGTGCTGGGTCATGGCTAGCGCTCCTACAACTAATGAATGAGAACAAGTTGGGCCCGTGTCACGGTGATGCACACGGACCATTGCTATTCTGTTCCTTTTATCACTACTTTATGCTAGCAAACCTGGGGGCTGGGCTCTGTTTCAGCTCTAGTCCCTCCTTAAGCAACTTTTCCCAAAGACAGTGACAGAACCCGGTTTCTATCTGGGTGTGGCAAGTGCAGAACCAGTCCACCAGCTAAATATCGTCTCAGCCCCATGGCATGTGAGTTGCTGTCGGCTATCACGATTCAACTGATTCAGTTTTCTTTCTTTGTGGACAATAATAATGCCCGGTGTTCCTCCTCGGTAGGCTCTCCCCCCATTCCTTTCCAGTCCTGACTAGAATATGGACTGAATTCCTCAATGCCCTGCTCATGCAGGCAACAGCTACACTCAAGGTCCTAGCTAGTTTTACTCTAGAGTTCTGTCTGTCTGACTTTAGTTGGGCAAAAAAGGAACAAGGAATCTCTCAGTGAACAACGAATCCGTGAGGATAAGCTAGATCAGCAGAAGGTTACTGATGTCCCAAAGAGTTACGCTAACCAAGACTGTTTTCAGTGTTTTCTAACTTGTGGCTGATGGGCGTGAGGTCTGTACCGTAGGGAGGGAGCATGGTGGATTGTAACAATTTATGTAATGTACATGGGAAAAGGAAAGAGACAATAACTGTTTTCTATAGATAAACCTGTTAGGGCCCAATCCTGCAAGGCACAGAGTTCCCACAACTATCAATGGGAGCTGAGGGCCCTGTAGAAACTGAACTGCACTTGGCCGTCTTCACTTTGGAAATGCGGGCAACGTGTACTGAAAACTCCGAAGTTTTCTAGAGGATTGCACCTGCTTCCAGTCTGCATGGCACAGACACGGGGCGCAAGGAAACTGCAGGGCCACTGGAGAGCCCCTCTCTCACCCATTGTGATCGGAGTAGTCCACATTTGTAAGTGTAGCTGCCATCTGGAAGGTCTCTAAACTAATCACATGCTAGTGGGAGTCACAAAGCAGCTCCACTTGAGAAGTAGCACTTCGTGGATCTGCTTATCAAGTGGCCACAATTTTAGATGCCCTGGATTTATAGACTTCCTTGTCAGGAGGGAGGAAAGAAGAAAACGCTGTTAAAAAGCCAATACGTAGCTACGGTCAAGGGGGAAACACAACACCAGGTTAAGCTACAAGAGACTAAATTGCTGGGTATCTAAAGGACTCAATGTCACCACTTTTTCCAGACAGCTACATAGTGGTTATTGACCACAGGCCAATGCCGATCTATAATACAAACCCCTGCAAGGACCCTGGGAATAGGTCAGTGCTAACCAACAGCAGAACCAGAGTCAGAGGGAAGAAATCACAGCTGCGGGTCTGGAGTGCCAAGTGTCTCCCCTTTCAATCTGGCTGCTCCAGGGGGTGAATTCCCCAGCACACAGGACCTGGAAGGGGACGTTCATTTTTAACGCGAACGCCTTTCCCTAACTAGGGCACTGGCTTGGGGGAAGAAGTGGTGTCCTGACAGCTGCTGCTACGGCTGGCAATTAACCGATCCCAACCCTGGACCAGGCGAGGTGTGAACTGGGCGTGGCTGGCCTTTAACACCTGGGGGGGGGGGGGTCCAGAACCACCTAGGGGGAGCAGGTGGGGGGAAGGAGGCCAGCGGCCCAATTCACCCCCAGGGAAAGGGACCAGGGGGAATTTGGCCCCGGGGTCTGAAGTTTGCTACAAAGCCAGCCCGGGTTTCCTGGGGCCGGGGACTGGGGCGGAGGGAGAGAGGCTGCAGAGAAGGAGAGGAAAGCGATGCCCGGGCCAGCCCCCGCCGCTGGGCCGGGGTCACTGACCTGGTCTCCGGCGAACCGGCCGTTTCCTGCCGCTGCAGAAGCGCACTTTGCTGAAGACGCCCAGCACGTGTCTCTCGCACAGGGAGCGCCCGTCCTTGCTGGGGCTGGAGCGGCGCTTGGACGTGGTCACCCGCTCGCTGTTGGACTCCCGGGCCTGCCGCTTCTGCCGGATCAGCGAGCTGGCGATAGCCGCGGCCATGGCCGCTCATCGGCCCGGCCAGCGCTGGGGCGTCCGGGGGGCTGGAGGCCGGGGTGAGGGGCCCCGGGGGGGGCGGAATCCGGGCGGGGCGGGGGGGGGGGTTCTCCGCTCTGCACCCCAGAACTGCTCAGCCGGTCAGGGGCAGGAGGCCCGGGCTAGCCCGCGCCCATCCCTGCGCCCCCCTCGGCCGGCGCAGCCACCCCCCATCTGTCTGTCTGCGGGGAGCCGGCAGCGAGCCCCCGGACGGCGGGTACCGCGGAGTCTCTGGAAGAGCAAGTCCCGCGGGCTGAGCCAGGCTGGGGCAGCGGGTCCCTCGGGAAGCCGGAGCGGGGCAGGGTGGGGGCTCCTGGGGACCGGCCGGGCGCGTCAGTCCCTCCCCGGCGGAGCCGAGCCCCCGGCGAGCTTTGCACAACGGGACGGGGGGAGAAGCGGCTCCGTGGTCAGAACAAAGCCCCGCTGCAGGCTCCTCTCAGGGCAGGCGCGGAGCCGCACCCCCGGTCCCGGTCCCAGCTGCGCTCCGCTCCGCCCCGGCCCGCGGGGACCCGCCTGGGCCCCTGTCACGGGCAGAGCTCGGGCATGTCTCCTGTCCCGCGCCGCTCGGTGCAAACCCCCTTCTCCCGCTGCGCTCCGGGCAGCCTCTCCTCCGGCAGCCGGTCCCGGGCCGGGCGAGCCCCGGTGCCCCGCCGCTGGGGCGTTGCTCTAACGATCCGCCGGCTACAACAGGCTCCGAGTGCAGGCGACCCCGGGGCTTTCCCACGCCCTGCTCCGCCTCACCGCCGGCCAGTCCCCATCCCCTCCCCGGCGTGGGGAGGGGGGAGCGAAGCAAAGACCCCTCCCGCCGCTAACTCCCCCAGACTCGGGGTGTGGCGGGGCTCGGGGCGCTCCGCATGCCCGTCCTAGGCGCAGGTGGCCGGGGCTCGCCCGCCGCCCGCCGGCATCCTCCTGCCATCCATGAGCTGAGTTGCCCGTGCTCGGTCCGCGGCGGCTGGGGCTGGCGGCGCTGCCCGCTCCGGGAGGATTCAGGGGCGAGTCAGCCCGGCGAGCCCCCGCCCGGCTGGGGTCTCCGCAGCCCGGGGGCCGGGCGCTGCCTTTGCTGGAGCGCTTCCCGGTGCTGGGAGAATCGCAGCCTCCTTCCTCGCCTCTCCCGCTCTACGCAATCCTACGTGATCGAGGTTTGGATGAGAAAGGCGCCCGGCAGAGCCAGGGAACTGCAGCGGCTCCCCCCACCCCACCCCCCGGCGGACGGGGCTGGGCAGGGGCGAGGGGTTGGGGGGGGGGTTACTCTACTTCTCCGCGGGACCCGGGAGTGGCTAGACTCATCCCCCTCCCCAGCTGTTTTCTGCAGAGCCCTGGGGGCAGAGAGGAATTAGGGGCAGACTAACCCCAGTGCCCTAGGCGCTCCTGTTACTTTACATTGACCCAGCTCAGTGTTCCTCGACCTGGGGGGCCGCGGAGGGGCTGGAGCCAGTGTTTAATATGTGCCAGGATTGGGCCCCGGCCCCTCTGGGCCTGGCAGCTCAGAGCCCTGGGACCCCTTCTGGATGATTTCACTTGACATCACACAATGTTGCAGCCCACGGCACAGACCCAGCATAAAAAAAAGCTCTTTGTGAGCAGGTGCCTAGAGGCTGAACTGCCAACGACTATCCGAAGCTGCATCTTCAGAGGAACCCATCTGATACCTTCCCAAGAAAGATGTCTCCTGCCCGCCCACAGAGCCCCGCCTAGAGCTTGCAAAGCTCTCTGAACAGAATGCAGGGTGGTTTCCTCCCTGACTTTTGAAATGACAGAAATACTTGTCCTGTTTTGACATCCAATTTTTGCATGTGTAGTTAACGTCCTGCCTGCAGCAGCTCTGTACCAAGAATGATCCTCATCAGAGACAACCCTACAGGTAACAGACTTGCACAGGTGATCGGTAGTGCCTCTAGAAAGAAAAGCACCACACGCAAAAAGCATTTCTCCAAGATCTCATTGCCTATGCAGTCTGTTAAATCAAAAGAGAACTTGTAAAACTCTGTGTAGTATCACCATCTACTGCCTTCCTCCTTGCAGCTCTTAGGGCCTGTGCCTGGAAACCACTCTGGGGGCCGTCAGTGGAAACTGTGCATAGTCTCCACCTCTCAGGTCACACCTCCAGGCTGCAAAGTCCTGGGAGCAAGGACTGCCCCCTTACATATCTGCAAAGCACCATGCAGCCCTATAGATGATAATAATGACTTGCACAGATTGGGGAAAGTAAGCCAGAAGCCACCCCACTATTGCAGAGCCATTCTGCTCAGCAAGGGGGGTAGGATGGGGCAGCTACCCTGAGTCAGCGGGAGATTTTTGGAGCCAACCCCCATATAGGGGGAGAACTCTTATCTCAGCCTCAAACTGGGCAAAGACCCTCGGCTGGCTGAAAACACCTTCCTCCTCTGGAGTACCAGCTTCTCCTTTCTGAGGGGAGTGGGCCATGACTTTCTCCATCCCATCCTGCTCCATGGAAGTCTTCCCATTGCCTTCAATGAGAAGCAAACCTGCTCCAGTTTGAGCAGAGCCACTGATCGCCTGGCCCAATCAGATCACGTTCCCTTAAACACACACACACTTATTTTCCCGCCAGTCTGGAAGGCTTCCCATGTCCAGGTGATAAGGGCTTTAAACAATTAGGAACAGAAGCACATGGGTTCAAACTGAGGCCGAGAAAGGGCTTCAGACCACGCTGAAGGGTTCTTTCCGTGCCCTCTGTAATGAGACAGCCCGTTTTGAATTTGTATTTGGAAACCATGGGCTCAATCCTGCACACGCTACCAAGCCTCGGTTCTGATTCCCCACCACCCTACGAGCATCAGGCTCATAGGACCTACTAGTGGACTCCTCCCACAGAGGTCAGTGGACTATGCACGACGCGCTCACCCAGGGTAAGTGTTTGCAGGACTGGGCTCAATATTAGCATTTTAAAGGTTTTGTTCACGACATGAATAAGCTCTCGCTTCCTCCGTGCAGAGGTTAACAATTAAGTCCTGCCTGAATTGCAGGGCTTTGTGGTTTGGGGCAGAGAGGAGATCCAGAACTGCATTCCCTCACCTCCTAAACAGGGCGAGCGAAGTAGGTCATCAGTGAGGTTACTGGCATCTTTCCTTAGCGAAGTGCAATAATATTGCCTTTGGGATTGCTAACCGAATATCCAGCTTGTTCTTCAGACAGGCCCAAGATTATAAACTCTGTTCTGCAGATTCAGGCATTAGACATAGATCACCGTTTTACTATGCACATATCCTGAGCTAAACATCCCTGCACAGCCACTGAAAACAAATGCACCACAATTAAGATATTCAAAATGTAATGCCACTTTAAAAACAAATAATCACAGGTCAATAGTTGTGGAAAAAAGACAACTTCCAGCTCTGTCCTAGAACTTAGAGAATTTTTCACTTGACCAGAGCTCCTAACTCACCCTTTGATAGCAGAGCAGCAAGTCCAGTAAGGATGTACTGTACTATTGAGTTTCAAATTTACATTTAACAACACCTTTAGAATGTTGTCTAATTTCCACTCTATGTAAATTATATCTACGTTGTCAGCTCTGCTTATTAAGCAGAATCGAGCCCATACCCATGTTTTATTAATGTCTCTCTTTGTAAGGTGGCTTCCTGTTGCTTGTCTAGAATCCTTAACATTCACGTCACTTTGGCGATCCCCCTTCTCTTTGCGTGGGTGGATTCTTTTAAAAACATGCCCTGGTATCCTTCAAGAAAAGGACCTAGAGTATCTCACTTCTTTTCTGTTCAGGCTAATTTTGTTTACAATGCACGGTTTTATCTCTACGTTTGGATGGCTAACATGAATTCTCAGGGCCACTTAGGAATTTTGTTTGTTTTGAGAGATGTAACTGGCCCTAAAACAGCACCAGAGTCGGAAATCTGGCTTGTTTTCTGGTCTTTTCCCTCACAGCGGACTAGGCCTTATTAATAAATGTAGACGAGACTGCATGATCTGATTGCCAATTGCCATATTAAAACAATTTCTCTAATGGACCCCTCCCCCCTCTTTTGGCTTCAAAGATTCAATTAAAACAACATTTGCAACTCATCGCTGGAGTATTCATTAGCCTGCACAGTGTCTTTAAAAACAACTCTAGCCTAGAGAGAATTCAACGCAGGAGTGAATTTGCAGCGACTTCAAGCAAACAGCCTGTAAATAGTTGTGTCAAATGCAGTTCGGAACCAGGAGGGGAGAAGCACATCAACAGCCCAACCAAAGAAAGCACGAAAGGGGACTGGAATTCACAGGAACAATGGCTTCTTTTCAAAAATGGATTTCTACCTGACAATAGAAGCTTTTATTTCTCTCCTGTGACTTTTCATCTCATGTCAAGGAAGGGCGGGAGAAAGCTTCACCTCACCAGGGGGGTCCTGGAAATGAAACTGTCAAGATGCATTTTCCTTGGAGGAAATTCAGATGTGTGTGGACATACCCCAGTGCCAGGTTATTTATTTTTCCATGTGTTATGGAGGTGCCCATTAAAAGGGGCCAGGAACGAAGTTCTTTAAAACAGGATATTTTTATAATCTTACTTTACCAGAGGGGCAATATCTGTAGGGCCCAACCCCTCCCAGCCTGACAATACAGATCTCAGAACAACCTTAATCGGCATCGTGTGGGCAGCTAGTGGCCCTCTCTTCTAGGGCTCCTAGTGGTACAGTACCAGTGGGGCAATGGTGGGACTGGAATTCAGTCTGTCCCTCGGCCCAATGGACTGGCACCCCAGGTTCCACTGCGTTCTGCACACAAGGTGATGGCAAGCGATGGAGTGGCAGGAAGGCCCTGGGTTCTCAGCCCAGACTCCCTTGGTGGCCTTGAGCAAACTGCAGCCGCTCTGTGCCTTAGTTTCCCTACCCCGCGTGATGTTGCCAGGATGAACGGGGCTGGTCGGCATGCCGACCTTTGCCGCTGCAGAGGGCTTAGACAATCCCCATGTGGTTTAAATATCAGGGCCCAACATGCAGCTGCCACCATCAGGGTGGCTGAAGTGAGACGAGGTAGAGCATCCAGTGGTTGATTCTGCACCGGCCTGACCACAGGAGTCGCCCCAGGGGTTGCAGTGGGATTACAATACTAAAGATGCATGAGGGCAGCAGGATCGGGGCCCTCTGGCTCTGCCCATCCAGCCAGCAAGAAGAAACATGCCAGGGCAACCTCTGCATGACAAATCCAAACCTCGGGATTGTTTGCAAACCAGGCGACAAGGCTCCATAAATCCAGAGCCCTAGAGGTTAACAGCAGCCCTGCCCGTCAATCACACTGCGGGCCGCTGTCCTTATGCTGAATTAGGTGCCCCTGAGGGGGGAAGGTCTCAGAACCTGTGGTGCAGCCCGAGTCTGTCTACACAGCGTTTTAGCCCTGCAGCCCAAGCCCCACAAGCCCGCGTAAGCTGAGCAAGGCTGCCAGATTGGGTGCTGCGGATTTTTTATCCCAGCCTAGACAGACACGGAGACGCGTGCCCAGCAAGAGCCCCACGGGGCACTGCTGTTGCCAAGACAGGGCAGGGAGAACACAGCACTGCAACCGCCTGGGGGAGGGTAATCCCCCCCGCTCATTTGGGGTGCGGAGTTTGGTTGAGGTTAGTTTTTTTTTTTTTTATCACTGCAGCTCTGCGTGGTACGATCGAGATGCAGCCCCGTGCAACACGCCTGTTCTGCCTGGGAGAGGTGAGCGAGGCAGGGCTCTCCTCAGAGCATCCCTTACTCCTGTGGCTGGGGAGCTCCCTCCCCCTGCGACACAGGGGGGCTGGCAGAGGCCCTTGCGCCTATGATCGGGGACGTGGCCTGCAGCAGCCCCGCCGACATGGAAGCAGCCACACGCGAGCTCGCCCTGCCTGGCACTCGAGCATCTCACGGCCCTGAGATCCCAGAGCAGACACCTGCGCTCACCTCCCTTCCACTGCAGGGGCAGGAAGGGAACAAGGCGCTGCCCTGAGATCGAGGAGGAGAGAGGGAGGGTTGAGGGCCTGCTAACCATCCAGCCGCAGGAACTGTGTGGCTTGGCTGTTGTTTTAAAGAGTGTTTGTGTCAGGGAGGGATAGCTCAGTGGTTTGAGCATTGGCCTGCTAAACCCAGGGTTGTGAGTTCAATCCTTGAGGAGGTCATTTAGGAATCTGGGGCAAAAATCTGTCTGGGGATTGGTCCTGCTTT